TGTGCCCGCAACCAAGGTACATGCCTCTGACTGGAATCGAACCTGGGACCTTTCAGTCCGCAGACCGACTCTCTACCACTGAGCCAAACCGGTTTTGGCCAAATCAATGTTTTATAAATCACTAATAAAAGTGTGAGTGAAGATATGATGATAAACAAGATATTTACAAATTCTTAAAGTCATTCTTCATCAAATAGTTTTAAATACTTATTAATTATTAAGTAAATATAATTAGTAAATAAAGTAGAAAAGAAGAGGCAAACACTAACTTAGAAAAGCAATAAAAAGCTAACATTGCTAGTAACGGAACACATTGACATTGTATGTCTCTCTTGCTATGTCCTAGAAAGAATACAGCATCTTGTGGTATTCCTGAACAAAATCCATCATCATGAGGAAATATAAAGTAAACCCAAAATAAGAAATAACTTATAAACCATCCCACTCCTGAAAATTATTAAGGTCATTAAAGTCAAGAAAATGTTAAGGAACTAAAATATTAGATAAAAACTAAGAAAATCTGAATAAAATATTCATTCAAGTAAATAATGTTTCACTGTTGATTCATTAGTTATTAAAAAAACAATGTATCATACTAATGAAAGATATTAACAGCAGGGGAAATTGGATGAGGGTTATATGGTATTCCATTACTTTTATTAATATTATTTATGTATAAATAGCTCTGATGTATTTTAAATAAATAATAAAAATATAATAATACTATTTCATGAATCACTTTCATTATAACAAAATCTAAACTTTGAACATATTATAAGAAATATATTTCTAAAGATAAATATTTATCCACTTATATTACACTTAATTTTTATAAATATATAATAAACATTAGAACTAATACTTAATCAAAAAATTAAATAAGGTAGGCTTAAGAGTTTGCGTGTGTGTGTGCATGTGCGTGTGTTTGTGTGAGCATGTGTGTGTGTGTGTGTGTGTGTGTGAAGAAAGAGAGAGAAAAAAAGAGAGAGATTATCATATATTTCTATGGCTTAATTTGACTGAATTTAATTTGACTGAAATTAAGCTTTTTGTTTCTGCTTATTGAGAGCATCATTAAAATGTTTTAAATCATTCTGTTAAACCTTAAAAAAAACTAAAATATTTTAGAATCCAATTTTTAAAAATTAATGAGCACATTAATCTAAGGAGCTGTTGAAGGACATTATCATGTCATGTTCAGAGAACTAAGTATTACAGAACTTGAAGTAGAGTAAAATAAACATGCTAATTAAACATGCATTTGATATCAGTTAGTATTAAATACCTTTTATGTTAAGCTGGCTATTACAACTATTATACATGTAGTTGAACAAGACATTCATTTTGAGAGAGTCTTAAATTACCCAGAGAAAAATATTTGCAATGTCTCATGTCTTGCACACAAACAAGGAATTATAAACCTCATTATAGTCCTTGGTCAATATTTAGATATGGGCTTTAGAATTTTCAACATACTAATAGAAGAACATGCTTACAAAGGGTATATGCACAAAGGCCCAATGCACAAAGATTTGTGCAAGAATGGGCCTTCCTTTCCCTGGCTTCCGGCACCACCTCCACTCTGGCTGGAGCACCCTTTCTGCCTTCCCATACTGCCCATTGTCCCAGAGTGGCTGGGGTGGTGCAGAACACCAGCATCATCACCATGGTGATGACACAAGCATCCCGCCTTGGCCCCAGCAGCTCAGCGCCTGTGCATGCAAATTAACCCACCTTCTTTGTTTTATTAATTTGGATATTCACTCCTGATTGGCTGGTGGGTATTGTGGAGGTATGGTCAATTACCATGTTACTCTTTTATTTGGTAGATGATACAATACTATATGTATAAACCCTGATATTTATTTTTAAATCAGTTACATGAAAATGACTGTGATTTAGTTAATAAGATGTCTATCAATAAGTAGTGAAGGGATGATTGAACCAAAAATGTAAGTTTTACTCCCAACTTTGTGACCAGTTTAACATAGCCAATTCATACTATTACTTCAGGGCTCAGTGTTCTCATAGTGACTAATCAGGACTTTAATTTTGGAAACTTCTTTATACATCTGTTATAATGACTTTATATCTATCTTAAGGATTTTAATGAAGTAAAATATTTTGAACTAACAATCTATTAAACCCTGAGTGATTAAACAAACAAACAAACATACATACACACCATTTAGATCATTCTGTATTAACCGCATGCCTATAATAAAATGTGACAGGCCCAGCTCATATGGCTCAGTGGTTGACCTTAATCAAGAGGTCACAGTTTGATTCCTGGTCAGGACACATGCCCAGGTTGTGGGCTTGATTCCCAGTGTAGGGCATTCAGGAGGCAGCCAATTGGTGATTTTCTCTCTTATCATTGATGTTTCTGCCCCTCTCACCCTCTCCCTTCCTCACTAAAATCAATAAAAATATATTAAGCAAAGTAAAAGAAAAAGAGACAGCATAGAAAATGTTTTGCAATCTTTCACAGAAGAGTAAAATGTATTTAATTTTATTTTAAAAGCAGCATTGTAGTTGGAGCGTAGACACATAAACATAAGTATATATAATTTCAATGTATTTACATATCCATTCTAGCCAATGAATTGAAGAGAAGTACTACTATGGAAGAATTCCTCAAATAAATAAAAGATAAGAAGAACAGTGAAATTTGTTTATTTCCTTGCAATTATATTTTGAGGTTTAAATGAACTTTTTGTGTGTTTTTTTCAAGAAAATAGATTAAATATTATGAGCAAATCAAAGGGAGATATTATTATCAAACTATGGAAAATATGCAGTACCAGTGAAAAAGGATTGTCTCAGTTGACTATAGGGAAATGCATTGAGAGAAAACCATATATGGACAGCTTTGTAAAGGACTCTTACTCCTGCAAATAAAATGTTTGATTTTTCTATAAATTATGTCACTGTAATTGACATTTATCCATATTATGAGTATTTTAGAGTTTGGAAAAACTAAAGATAAATGAATGTGAATATCTGGGGACAACTTTAAAAATAGGAAATAGAAATAGGTTTGAGTTAATCTTTAAAAAATGAATAAAACCTGTGGACTTGCAAGGTAAGGAGGATGCCATTTTAAGTAAGATGAACAGTGTGAGCAAAGCCCAAGAAGTGGAGATATTTGTGAGAGGAAGAAATTATTCTAAAAGAAGTGAGGCTTTATCATAAAGAATTTGAAGTTAAAAATACATTGACAAAAGGTCATATTATGAAAGGTCTTTAGTTAAGTCAACAGAGATAGATGGCCTTTTTCCTGGCAATAATTTTAAATTATATAATTTTTGAATAGGAGAGTGACATGATTAAAATAATATTTGAGAACATTATTTTTCAGCAAGGTGCTGAAAAGTTTGGGTGGGATAAGTGGAAGTAGTTAAATCACATTTTCACATTTAATACTTTGAACTTCAATTTGTATATTATATATTTACTTACAAAAGTTAAATATATGGATCCAGGAATAGTTTAAATATGGTATAAAATATATATTACATTTAGATCTGTGCCTAACATAATTCACCTGAATATACGTTTATGCCCAAATGAAATTATCACTGAAATAAAGAAAAATTTCATTGAAATAGTATACTTCAGATGCTTAAATTATTATGTAACCTGATTAATTACATTAATTAGCATCAGTCTTTTTTAGTAGAAACCTGTTCAGTCATGGTAACTCAAAAAGGTTAAGCCTTGACTGATCAGTAACTTGTCCTGTTAAAACTTAAAAGAGATGTGTTTATTTTAAAGTAATACAAACTATAAAGTCTCAGCTTGTGAAAAACATCATTTCTTAATTTTCTTATGAATAGAAGAATGTTGAGATAAATAGGATACATGCCAACAATTTCAAAAGCTTATAGAGGTTAAAGGCCCAATGCTGTGTAACTAACACCCTAATAACACTGATTTCATCCTAAGTAGGTACATATTTTTAAGGTTTAATGAGCATCGTGGAGGTAAAGAACTGCTAAAGTTTTTCCTGTTGTTAAAGTACACATAATAGATGATATTAGACAGACTTTAAAGAATTTTCTGACTTAATGGAATAACAAAAATGTTATAATATTGATAGAGTAATTTTTTAAAATAAAAGGGATCTTAAAATAAAAGGAATCTATACTTTTTTTGTTTGTTTGTTTGTTTGTTTTTTGAGCCAGATCTCTTTTATTTTTAAATAAAAAGGATCTGGCTCAAAAAAACCCCCAAAAAACAAAAACAAAAACAAAAAAAAAAAAACACACCAAAAAAAGAAAAAAAAAAAACACAAAGCTAATAAACTAACAAAAGCATGTTCTAATAAAAGCAATAATATTACTTTTTGATTATTTTAATAGTTTTATCAGAATTTTCTTATAAAAATATAGCTGTGAGTTATCTATATTATAAAAGGCCTGTGGCCCTAATGTCTGAACCACCAAAGTTTGGCGTGGGTGGGGGTGCTGTGAGTGAGGCGAGGCACGCACAGGTGGGCAGGGCTGCATGAGTTCATGCTCTGAGTTTCTAGTATTGACATATTTTGAATACACCAAAATGATTTTAAAATTGAGGAAAGACTTTAAATTGATAGAATCCTAATAGATATTTTCTTCCAGGATTTAATTACTGCAAACACTTCAGAGATACAAAAATAAATTAGTTCTTCCCCTTACAATGAAAACAAATAGCTTCTGTTGAGCGTCAGTAGGCCTACAGGTGGATTCAGGCTTAAAATTGTGCATACTGATCATGAGCATTAATATTTTGGTCATTATTATAAATAAATCAAACATTTCCTACAGAAAAGAAAATTCCTAAAATCATGTCAGAAATGATCCAGGCCTTATTCCCTCTAATGCCCTCTTCCTTAAAATATTTTCTTGATATTTCTAAACAGGTAAGCCTATTATTATAGAAGACTCATTTCAAAACATTTATAGCATAGTCAGTTATTTGTATAAAAAAGGACAAAGAGAGAACATTTACTAACTGACCTCATTCACAGTGGCATAGTAGCTTTCATGCTTGAATATGGGTGAGTTGTCATTCCTGTCTCTCACCACGATTCGAACTTCATGGTAGATAACAGTGCCCACTTTTTTGTTGACGCACTGGACTTGCACCACGATGGAGTGGATGTTCATTGGTGGCTGCAATACAGAAATTGTATATTTATTTTTAAAAAACCCACTTTATTATTATTGCTGTCAAAGCACTTATTCAATACAGTTTTCTATGCTTGTTCATTTTTACATGATAATAATCTACATAAATTGATCCAATTTGTACTATTTTAAGGACAAGAAAATGATTAAGATTACTTCATGTTCAACTTTGTGTCTCAAAATATAGCGTCTTAAGTAGCATCTTGCTCACAATTAGAAGATGGTGATAAATACAACCACAAAATGAATGCTGAGATTGGATGGGATGGATCAAATTTTGATATGAACTTCTAATTTATAAAAATGATATGTTAATAATAAAATTCTTAGGGAAGGGATATTTACATTTGTGTCTATATTTTTGCTAAAATATTATTTGTTTTTTTTTTGTTTTGTTTGTTTTTGTGGTTTTTTAAAATATATTTTATTGATTTTTCACAGAGAGGAAGGGAGAGGGAGAGAGAGCTAGAAACATCAATGAGAGAGATACATCAACCAGCTGCCTCCTGCACAGCCCCCATTGGGGATGTGCCCGCAACCAGTGTACATGCCCTTGACTGGAATCGAACCTGGGACCTTTCAGTCCGCAGGCCGACACTCTATCCACTGAGCCAAACCAGTTTTGGCTAAAATATTATATGTTGATATCTGATAAAAATCAAAATGTAAATAAGAGAATCCATTCACAATTTAATCAAATATACTCTATTTGTACCTTTAAATGCTTATTTTTCTAATCGTTCGACCTTTCCAGATATATATGTATTATACACATACACATAAACATACACAGAATGAATATCATATCATATTTATAAATATAGATTTACTATAACATCTTGTGTATACTACTATGAAACTACCTTATGTAGTTTCAGAGTACTCACTCCACTTTAGGTCTATAACATATTTTGCCTAATTAAAAATTTATAATGAGAGGTTTTATGTTGTCAGTTTTTATCATTATAAATGATACTTCAGTAAACATTCTATATACCTAAATATGTACTAAATCGCTTAGTTGTTTTTATGATAAATTGTCGAAGGAGAAAAGTGTTGTCAAAGGGGAACCCACTTACTCAGGTCCCAGAGCTTAAGGCTTGCAAAATTGGGATGCACACCTACATCTCTTTGACTCTACAGTCAAAGGATTATCACTAAAACATGTATCTTTGTGATTTTAAAAATATTTTTCAAATCATAAAATTACCCCTATAAATATATCATTTTCAGAATGACCTGTTCTTATACCATCTAAAGTACCATGTCTCCAGCATGATCACTCTTTTCTATTTCTCCCTTCACTATTTTTTTTTTTGCAATTTTCATCCACCACTTGACATAGTACATATTTTATATATTTGTTTTATTTTATCTCCCTACTCTAAATTGAAAGCTCTACAAAACCCAGAGTATTGTTTCAGTCCTGGCTAAATCTCTCTACACAGGCACCAGCACTGTGCCTATGACAGATGACTGCATTCCTGAACCTACTAGGTTTTCAAACTTAGTTTTATAACTGTATGATATATACACAAAATGAACATCAAGTTTATATGCTGACACTGTGAGTGGGCTTCTGGAAAAATCATACTTCATATTCATTGATCATATCAGATGCAGAGATAGGTGGATTATAATAAGCACCATATTCTGGGTGAATAAGATGTAAAATCTGAACACTTTCAAGTATGTGTTAAAATTTGAGGATGATTAAGCAAAAATACAGTATTTGCTAGACATCTGAATAATTGTTGTGAAATGATCAAGGATCTTTTAGTTTATTTATTGCAGTCCTAGAGAGCTAAAATAAAAACAATGAATAAAAAGTTTTATAAAGCATATGATTTCAATGTAAGTAGTGGTTTTCTAGTAATCCATAATGGTGCAGAATAGAATAGACTTTCCTGTAAGACAAGCTCCATCATTAAAATTTGCAAGGTTGAGGAGAATAAAAAGATTAATTGATAAGTCTAGATCTTCAAAGTTTTAAGGAAATAATTTGAATTAGATGACCACTTTACTACAGATATTTAAGTGTTTGCTTTATTGGACAGCATATTTCAATCATAAAGTAAAAAACAATAAATACAGGTACTATTAGTCTTTGGCACACCTTTTGGAAGACAATCAGTTGAATCATGTTTTTCTAAGGTTATTTGTCCTCTAAATATTTCAAGAGAGACCTATAAAACCATTTCATCTCAACCTCTAATTCTATGAGTGGGAGCACTAGGACAGAAAGGTCACAATCGTTGCAAGTAGAGGATCAAATGCATGCTGCACTGAACCCACTTAGTCCTATAAGTGCCCATAAATTAGACATACCCAGGTCATCTGGAACTCTTGTCACTCTCAATTTTAGCTCCCTATGCAACTGTTAGTAGTATGGATAGAACTTAGCTAACAATAAATTTCAACCATAATGGATCATGTTGAAGGCAAGAATTCCCTGCAGCTAATATATAACACACATTGTGATCTTACATTGGAATAGATTCTACTCTGCTGTTTAAAAAGGTCATAAATATATCAAGTGTAGTTCTACTAAGTCCATTAGTGAGAGTTTGGGGAATCCAAAGTCTTTAGGAATGAGTTAGGGAAATTGTGGTTTGTCTTTCATAACTGGTGGGAAAAAATAAGTCATGACAATTTTATTCTAATTCTCTTAAGTTGTTTCAATATTAAACAAAAAATAAAAAAGTGTGTATAAATTTAGGGGGCAATTATTTAAACAACCAAAATGTATATATTCACAGGCATGCCAACTATTCTCCTAGTTTAAAAATGAATATTTAGCATAACATTCTGAATGTATATTTGCATATTTATATCTTGGTGTATAGATTTTGGTATGCATAAAGTACATGGATAATATGTACCAACAGTTGATGGGTATTATCTTTGAAAAGTATAGTTGAAGTAGAAAGTAAAGGAATAAAACTTGGCAACAAATATGTATGAACTGTGTAATTTGTTAAAAGACAAAAATAGAAAATTGTGTTAGGGGTTTTTCAGAAATCCACTTTGGATTCAACATTCAAAGTGAAGTTCATTATAGTGAATTTATTGATATTACAGTATTGATTATAGCACACATCTTCAATCTAAAGGGAATTGAGTTTTTCCAGAAATGATGTTATTTGATGTGCTAAATAATTTAGAGGGAAATAAGTTTTTAGCAAACCTGTATAAGAATTGATTTTATTTTTCATAAGGCAAGGGCAAAATGTATTCAATTCTCACAGGAATAAAAGGTTTTTGCCAAGATTTTTCTTTCTATGTATTTACTATCTTTACAAAATAAAAAACCTTATTGAAATTTTAAACTATTCAGTATTTTAAAGCCTCCATTGACTTGAGCTTTCTTTTCTGATATGTTTACCACCAGGTATATATTATTTTACAATTAAATGAGACTAATTTTCACTTGTGATTAGATACAACTTTTTCAGCAGCAATAATCTATACTATACACATACCAGATGGACACTGGATTGAGAATTTTCAGGATAAAGACATTTACATTTTGATTTAAAAGAAAAATAAAAGCCCTGAAAGCATTGTGACAGCAGAAAGATAAACTCACAATTCAAATAAGGTAATATAGGGCAAAGCGAAATGCATCGAAATAAATTAAGATTTATTTTTCCCCAATTCACATATTACTTCATGTTATGAAAAAGATGGCAAGTATCTAATATATAAAGAAATCATTAAAACTTCAACAAGTGCTCTGCTGACATGGCTCAGTGGTTGAGCGTCTACCTATCATGGTTTGATTCCAGTCAAGGCACATGCAGGAGGCAGCTGATCAGTGATTCTTTCCTATTTCTGATGTTTCTGTCTCTCTTTCCCTCTCCTTCCTCTCTTAAATATATATTCTATATAATAAAGAGGTAATGTACAAATTGGCCCTCATGCCCTCACAATATGGCTGCCAGCAGGGGGGTAGTGAGGGATGACCAAATGACTGAACAATAGGCTGCATGGGTGACCAGGCCAGAGAGGGGGACATGAGGGGCGACCAGGCCAGCTGGGGGGGGGGCAGTTAGGGCGACCAGGTCGTCAGAGGGAGGCAGTTGGGAGTGACCAGGCTGCAGGGGGAGCAGAAAGAGGCAACTAGACATGTGTGTGTGTGGGAAGGGTCAGTTAGGAGTGACCAGGCTAGCAGGGAGAAGGTAATTGGGAGCGACCTGGCCAGCAGCAATGGGCAGTTAGGGGCAACCAGGCAAGCAGTCAGGTGAGAGATTAGTGAGTGACTGTGAGAGGGATATCCAACTGCGGATTTAGGCCCATTCACTGGGATTGGGCCAAAAGCCGCAGTCGGACATCCCCCGAGGGGTCCTGGATTGGAAAGGGTGCAGGCTGGGCTGAGGGGACTCCTCTCCCCTGTGCACGAATATATATTCTGAGTGGCCAGATTATTATGATCTCTGAATGCATAATAATCTTGCCACTATATATATATATATATATATATATATATATATATATATATATATATATATGACTTGGATACGGACATACCTAAACAGGGCCAGTAAAGAATACCTGTGAGTAATGCAGCTAGAGCCCGGGGAGTTCTGCAGTTTGCCAATATATATATATATATTGAGTGGCAAGATTATATATATATTAGAGGCCTGGTGCATGAATTTGTGCATGGGTGGAGTCCAGCCAGCCTGGCCAGGGGGAGTGGACATGGATGGTTGGCCAGCCTGCCTACTGGTTGAACTCCTGGTTGAGGGGACAATTTGCATATTAGTCTTTTATTATATAAAATATACACTGAGTGGCCAGATTATTATGCATTTAGAGATCATAATAATCTGGCCACTCAGTGTATATGACTACAGCAAATTACTCCAGTATGATGTGATATAAAAGTTAATATATATGGTAAATAATCATTCCTTCTCTTAGTTCAGTTTGGAAATACTCATTTAAAGATATAAGATTCTCTCTCAAATTGATAATTTAAAAAAGGTTATTTACCCAAGGCAAATTCTGTAACCTGAGCTTTATGCAATCGTGATAGTTAGTGAAACTCTTGAAATTGCAAATAATTTATTGATGTGAAAATAAACTTTTCCCTGAGAAATGAGTCCATAGATTTGATCAGAATACTAAGTGCCCCCCCTCCCAAAGATGAAGTCTTACTGACAAATCTATACATTAAAAAGTACATTCAGCCTATTATCATTTTTTTCCATGACTCTTGGAAATCTAATGCTGGTGAAATATTTCTTAATGATCCAATATATTCATGATATAAACATTTAATAGTTTCTATACATCAGGTTGTCTTTTCCCCCCTTTTATGGTTGCTCTTTAACTTGATGGCCTCCATTACCAGATAGCAGGTCTGAACTTGATAGTATTTTACACTCTTGTTATTCTTCTCACACATGCTACTACTTCTCCTCAATTTATTCTACACTACATCTATGCTTCTTATTTCTTCTGCATGACTCTTCATACTCTTTATATATTTATACTTCTCTTAGGGTTAATGCAATTCACATGTTTATTCCAGAAGAATTCCCAGATATTAAACAAAAATATTTGGCAACCTGGCTTCCTTATTAATTAGCAGTGTGGACTTCATTTATAGTATCTACATTAAACTTTCCTCATGTAAACACTGAGTACACCAGAACAGTGGGACCAGTAAAATATCTATAATAATAAAAGGGTAAAATGCTCATTAGACTGGATGTCATTCCAGAAGTCCTTCCAGACGAAGTTGAGCCAGAGGGAAGCCTGGGTCCTGGGTGCCAGAGGGAAGGTGGTGCCGGCAGCCAGGGGAAGGGAAGGCCTACTCTTGAATGAATTTCGTGCAACGGGCCTCTAGTGTTACAATAACAATGAAAACAGCCATAGCAACAAAATACAACAACAAACAAAAACACTGGAAGGCTATCATGTCCCTACTCATAGGAAGCCTCAAGTGGTGTCTATTCTAATTCAGGTTTTGTAAGTCTAACCACCAAAAGAAAGTACCTATGCAAGATGGTGATGTTAAATCTTTGGTGTGACTTTATTTAACTATACACACTTAAATTTTCATATTACTAAGGTTTAGAGTATCTTCTATTCAATGTCTTGCCATTGTTTCAGTAAGTGCATTTGCTTAATGGTAATACATTGCAGGTCTTCTTTTTCCCAATTTACAGATTTTTCTCTGCAATATTCATTATACATTTAATTTTCTTTAGTTGATCTAGTCTCCATCACCTTTAGCTATAATAATTTTAATTAGCTGTCCACTGACAACACTTCAATTTGCAAACAATCTTTGCAAGTTTAACTTGACCACAGCACTTCTAATTTGAAATAACATTTTTAAATGGAAAGGAACTTAATGATTATTATGTTAATAAACCAGTCTGAATTTTTCTTTAAATGATACATGTGCATATTTTTGCATTTTTATGTTCAGGCCAAATCAATTTTAAATATATTCCCATGACATAGATTCAGTTTAGCCAATGTTCAATAAATAATGCCCATATTAGAAATAAAAAAAAATACTAAGAAAACAGATACTTATCTTGAAAAGTAATATAATTTTTGGTAAGTAATTAACATTTAAACAGCTTTATAGGTTGGAGAGATGGAAGACTATTTATATAGGAGGATATCCTTTCTCTCTATTCATAATTCAGACTTATTAGTGTGATTTTTATATAAAAATAGGTTCCCAAAAGTAATTTAGTAGTGAACCAGTAAATTACCATAATTAGCTATAAGGTGATTTAAAAAAATATGTTTTTATTGATTCCAGAGAAAGGAAGGTAGAGGACAAGAGGGATGGAAGAAACATCAATGATGAGAGAGAATCATTGATTGGCTGCCTCCTGCATGTCCCCTACTGGGGATTGAGCCACAACATTGTTAAGGGCCCTGACTGGGAAAAGAATCACGACCTCCTGGTGGCTGGGTTATAAGGTGATTTTTAAAAAGAATACAAAATATAAAATGATAGTGGTCTCAAATAGATAAATATTCTATAATTCCCCTAGCATGTTATAAAATTCATATGACTTGGATACGGACGTACCCAATTAGGGCCAGTAAAGAATGCCTGTGAGAAATGCAGCTAGGCTGAGGGAATCCTGTAGTTTGCCAATTTCTGCCATTGTTCAGATTGGTTTATAAAAGTAGGATTTATGATAAGGTAAACTAAGAAGACACAATTGAGGATAGCGGATGTCTTTATTCCATTTACAACTTCTTAGCCACCCACATCATGCATGCTTCTGTGATAAAAGGACATAGTGGGGGCTGTGAAAGGGAGGGATGGGGACAGCAGTAAGGATGCTTATTGTCCCTAAGTTGAGCTGAACCGTTCTATTCCTATTCTCTACTGCTACCCAAGTTTCAAATATGCCACCATTGCTCAATTAGAATTAAACTAGATGCCTAAGGCATGGATTTCGTGCATGGGTAGGGTCCCTAGGCCTGGCTGGTGGTTAAGGGCAATCTGTAGGGTGACCAGTGGGATGATTGGGGGCCTCCCTGCTTTGGCCAGCCTGGCGCCACCAATTGACCAGCCCTACCCCTGTTGCCACCTGCTTGCCAGCTGGCCCTGCTCCCTGCTGCCACTGCCAGTCACCTCCCTCTGCAGGGTGACCAGTGGAGCAATCAAGGGGCCCCTGCTGGCACCTGCCTTGGCTGGCCTGGGGCCTTCAGGCGGGGGGCAGCTCCTACATGGAGCTTCTGCCCTGTGGTGGTCAGTGCATGGCATAGCAAACAGTCATTCTACCATTCGATCAATTTGCATATTAGGCTTTTATTATATAGATTATGAATCTCCCCAAGTATACAAAGATACCCATGTATACAAAGTGTGCAAGTATATGAAGACAGCTATCCTGGTGGGAGAATCCTATGTATTGCCCACCTCACTAGAACATTTTAAAGATTCTAAATTTTACATGTGAAATACATTAGGGATCATCTACTCTATCATACTGTAAAGTGGATCATAAGTCCTTAATGATGTGGAGAAATCATTCAGATTCAGTGAACTGAATATCTAATCTTTGAATTTCATAAACTAGAAGGTTTTGGAGTAGGCATGTTTAGATATCCGCCTTGAGTTTTCCCAAGGTCCTGCACAGTTACTACTAGTTATTGAAACCCCTACTCCCCATGTACTCTTCCCTGCTCACAAGACTGAACTGAAAATACATGAGAATAAAGTTACAATGAAATAAATACACTCAAGTTTTTAAACTGTTTCAGAGATGATACATTCTGTGACTTTGGTAACTGAGCTGTTGGTAACATAGTGCTATTTAGGTCGTGCTGCCTGAGCATGACTGGACTGGGAGGACTGGACAGGAACATTGCCAGGAGACCTGTGCCCACTCCTGTGAGTTCTTCTTCAGCTCTATAGGCACATCACTGCAAACTCCTCTCTCAACCAGCGCTTAGTGCTTGCAAGAGCAGCCACCATTAGTATTCCCACCAAATTCTCTGTCCTCAAGTCAACACGTAGCTGCATGTCTAGCTCTCACCCTAGATTACCACTGTGTTTATCCTACACTTCCGAGGTTACCACTCCTTCATTCAGAAAACTTTAGCCTCTTGTTCAGAAATATGATTCACTTCCAGGATGACCGATAAAAGATACGATGGTTCTGTCAGACATGGAGGGCCCCTTTCTTTCCTTTTTTTTTAAGGAGCTAAAAACAAGTTTTTGTTGATGAACATGGAAAATAAACTAAAATTATATAAAGAAAATTAGATATCATATCAATAGACACATGCAGACACTTCAAGTGTAATAAAGAAAGAAATCACTAACATCTCTATCCAGAACTCTGCCCGTGCTGTTCAGGAACAGCATCTGCTTAATGGGATCCAGCAGCACCCAGTAGTCCACGTTGTCCTTTAAAGAGAGCTCTATGGTGGGGTCTGGTCCTCCAGCAGTCCCTTTAATCAGCATGTTATCCACTATAATGGTACCTGGAAACCAAGGAGAGTTATTTCAATACAGATTCTACTTGCATGCATTCTTTAACAAAGATAATATGCTAGCTGACTTGCAAATCTGATTTAATAATTTTAAAAAAACTGCATATCTGATGTATATGGGAAATATTCCTGTTTCAAAAAGACCAAAAACTAAATAAAACTTTTATTATACTATTTATTACTGTCATTTGGGGAGATAAAGTTTGAGAGGCAGAGATTCAAACACTTAGTGAGTTTTATCATCTATTTCTAATTTACCTTTAACAACAGCAATCTGTTGTCCTCCCTGTCCACCACTTCCTACAGGAGTTACCGCTGAATTTTATCCTGAACAAAAATAAATGCCTATAATAACAGAGGCTGGTACATCAGTTCCCTCAGTAAGACTGCTGATAAGAAAGGAGAAATCCCAAAAATAAGAGACTGGAAGAGAAAAAGCAGTAACTGAGTGTCCCATGGTGAGAACTGCTCATTTTGTCTTTTATCTTAAAGAAAATCTATAAAATATAAATTCTAATGTGAAAGACAGAATTAACATACAGACACACAAAAGAAGCCATTAAGACTTGTCTAAAGTACTTGACTGGAACACACACTCTTCCGATGTAACATTTCAATGCTTTCTTTCTTATAATTCTTTAGTGGGCTGAATTGTAGACGTTTGTTGAATAAGAGCTGAAATTGAGTACATCTCCAATCTTCCCTGTTAAAGAGTCCATGAATTTTACAATTTGAACACAAACAATACTGACGCAAACCATGTCTCATTTTCTTCCCCATCCAGCGACCGTCTCTTTTCCAAACAAAATGCAATGTTGCTTAAGGAAATCAATTTTAGCTGATCCATTTTTACTAAACTTATGGCATATAGGAGATGTGGCTATGGAAATAAAAATGTACCCTCCTAAAGACATGAAGATAAATGTCGTAGATCTAGAGAACGCATTGCCCTGAGATAGCATACAAGAATATATAGATAATCTATAATATTGAACCTAAGTTGAAAAATAATCATGCAAAATGTATATTTTGCATTTTTTTACAATAAAGAATTGGCCTAAATTTTATATCATTGCATAATTGCAAATAAAAGGATGGCCCCTTTGCAAGATTTTCTCTGCAAATAAATAATAATAATCATTTACAAATCTATAATATTTCTTTCTCGTATTATTTCTAATGAGCTTCATCTGCCTAGGAAATGCTGAAGTAACCAGTAGTCTTTTGTAACAATAATCTAAGTCGATGATTTTCAGCCAGTGTGCTGTAAGAAATTTTAAAACATGCAATATCTGACTATTTAATCAAGGGCACTGACCTTTTTCTCCTTAGATTGTAAAAAAAAAATTACAATAGTCTATACAACAATAGGTGTCCAATATGAATGAAGCAAAATCATACCAAATTTTTTGGTCAGTTAGGCAAATTATAATATTTTTGGTGTGCCACAGAATTGAAATAGTTCATGTGTGCCATGAGATTAAAAAGGTTGAAAATTGCTGATCTAAATAATGTTTAAACATGCATTCTGTCATAAACACACACTTTTCTAAATGGCAGGTTATATTTTCTACTTTTCAATATACTAGTACACACACACACACACACACACACACATATTTATATAAAGTGAAACTTATCCTTCTATTTTAATGACTGAAATGGCAAACAGATAACCTACAGATAATACATTCAAAGTACAGATTAGATAATTATGGCATTTTCTGATCTACAGATATTTTTAAGGCCTGATACACACTCATTTACAAATACTTCTCTCTCATAATTAACCTTTGAAAAATTATTTAGCCTGCATTTCAATATCTACTTTAAAATTAAATGGGATGAATTTTTCTGATAAAAAAAACACAAAGAAATCTACAACAGTTAAGTCAACTAACATTAACATGTATGCCCTGATTCAATGGTACATAACAGCAGATCTTTCTACAGTCTGCATACACACCACCCAGGCACAGATGAGGGGCTAAGGAGCTCTCCTTTGTAACACAGATACATTACAACCAGAGAGAACTGCAATAGCTATTTTAACCACTAGTAAGTCATTGAAACTAAAACACTGTATCTTGACTTATATATTATTGAGTGATATTTTTAGTTTCATAGAAATGATCTAAATATTTTTTTTCTAGTTCTTGCCTTTCACTCTGTGTTCAACAACTGAAACTCAACTGTAAATATTTCTAGCACTAGTGTGCTGAACAAGAGAGATCTCTGCTTCGCTTTCAGTAAAATGCTCCATTCACACTGTCAAAGATATTTCAAGATTTTCATAGGCCATGTTACTCCAAACTAAACGTTTGGATAAGAGATAGAAGAGAGCACAGATAAGGCAGACATAATGCTGGAAGCAACAGTTTTTTATTTGTGTGTGTGTGTGTGTGTGTGTGTGTGTGTGTGTGTGTGTGTTTATGAACATGGGTGTTGACTCTGGCTTGCCTGAACAACCCTGTCCCCATTCTCCTCTCAGAATAGTGAGTGATTCCAAGCTAAAGTTAACGTTAAGCCATGGGCTTTTCCAAAACTCTATTTCCACCCCAGCAGAGGGGACTGTAACTTCCCACAGGTCCAAGATTTTCCAGATCTGGTAGGTGATGTCTGAGAAAATGCTGGTCAGTAGTTACCCAACAGAATATCTGGGCACAGAGAAAGAATGTGGCCCCTTGCCTCTTCTCTATTTTGCAAGCTTCCCTTTTGTCCATAAGACCTTTTGTTTCCATTTTAAATATAAAGACACAAATAGGTTAAAAATAAAAGGATAGGACACACTATGCAGCACTTAGAAGAAAATTGCATGACTCTATTATTATCACAGAGTAAATCAGAACAGAGAAATATTTCATGGAAGTAAATGGATAAGTTAATCAACATGGGTTAACCCCAAAGAGACCTGTCTGCTTAGTTTCTAGGATGAAAGTCAGATAAATGCTTTATGTGTTATAGAAACTATTTTAAACACCCGAAACTGCATCTCCATAATGCCTAGTACTTTCTTATTTAAGGTAGAAGTTGATGTCAACTTGAATTGATCCACTGTTAACCATAAATCCAATTAAAAGTGATTGTCCAATTTTTATATTTAGTTTATTGGTACTATAAATAAGTTAAAAGTTGTATAAGCTGAATAAGACAAAAGAAAACTGTGATTTTACAGTTATAATCCTTAATAACCTAATACTAATACCCAAGAGAATGCTAATAGTCTTTTCTGCATAAAAACACTGCATTCAATTAAATAAACAAATAAAAACACCCTCAGGTTGATAATGCCCAAAAAGTAAAAGAATAGATTCTTAATTTAAAATTGCTCTATTTGACAGATAAATTCAGTAATATTTATCAGAATTCTTGCACAATGTCATGGTAAAGATTAAGCTTCACCCAGCCCAAGTGGATAAGTGATTGAGTGTTGACGTATGAACCAAGAGATGACAGGTTTGATTCCCAAAATTCAAAAAGTCAGGTACATGCCAAGCATTGCAGTGTGGGATGTGCAGGAGGCAGCCAATCAATGATTCTCTCCCATCATTGATGCTTCTGTCTCTTCCTCTTTCTCTCCCTTCCTCTCTGAAATCAATAAAACATTTTTAAAAAGATTAAGCTTCTTTGCCAAAAGAAAACAATTGGAAAGCTGGTCAAGGGGATAGGCACTCAAAGAAGAACTTAAAATAATGCTAGACACGGATATCAGTCTAAACAAAAGAGTGGTCAGAAAGAGAAGACATTTTGAAGAGTGGAAAGATAAACACACTCAGACAAACGGTAGAGAAGGAAGCATACTAGGGCCACAAGTTTGAGTTATTGTGGGGTAGGCTTTGCGGTGGCTCAGTGGACTGAGGAGTTCTACCTGAGTGTACCATGGGGTCACCAACAAGAGGAGTCAGGCTGAAGTGGTTAGACTGGGACTTGAATTTTCCGGCAGGTATTTCTTTGTATCACCCCAGGTTTGGGAGACTTTCATAAAATAAGACCTCGAGTGTTCCAGCCTTTTTCTTTGTATTCATGTCAAATCGTTCATGAAGATGGTTGGTTTTAAAATACATAAACATAAATAAGAATAAAGCAGATCATAGGTATCTTGTATTTTTAAAGCTAGTGAGCCAAACTTTTTGAAATTACAATCATTTTTATAATGCTAAGTTTACCCAAATTATATTATTTAGTTATCAAGGAGTTATTCTACATTGCTGAAGCAGCTTTTTCGGTCAAACCTCAGCTTGGTAAACTACACAGGTTTCCTAATTTCTGTTGTATACACAACTTACACGTGGGGTCATATTTCTTTCTCTGTGACCCCAAATTTTACTCCTGTGTTCAGACTAAAGAGAAATTCATGCTTATGTAAATCAAAAGGAATTTATAAGTGTGGTGTGTGTGTGTGTAAGAGAAAGCCTAATATTGGGGAAATACATCTTAGTATTTAGAAAAATGAGCATGTGTACATACTCATATTATTAATAGAAACATATTCATAACAGCTTTGTCTGTTTGCAATGTAGAATTTAACGAGTGCTGCCTCCCAGTTGTCCAGAAGCCACCATTCTATACAACTCCCTCCAATCTTCATGGAGTCTTCTGGGCATCTGGCACAGGGCTAGCAACCAGAGAGCTTTTAGAATTGTAAATCTGAGTCCCAGAGAAAAATGCCAGTTCCTTTTCTATTGGCTACAGTTTAAAAGTAAAGATTAAGTGCCTGCTTTTGAAGAACTTGTTTTAGGGGAAAGGCAACAAAAGCCCCCATGCACAGCTTTGTGAGATGGTACAGGAAGGACGGCACTGAGTAGGGGAGAAGAGAGGGAGGTCCTAACAGCATCTCGAGACTGGGCTGTTCCATGTGATACGTCTGTTTCCTTACCCCACACTCTTATTGTAACCTTGGCATCCTCATGTTTATATGCTCCCAAGGAAATACTTTAATTCTTTTTAAATAATTACAAAATACTACTTTCTGTAATGTATATTATGCTAAA